GGTATGGGTCACCCTTTGCCATTCCTAGAATATTTGCATCATTGACAAAGTTGCCTGCTGCGATGCTTGCTACGTGAGTTCCATGCCCGTCGGTGTCTTCAGGGGAAGGCCATGTCCCTCCAAAAAATGACTTTGCTCCGATGATCTTATTGTTGCATGGAAAACCTGCATATGAACAATTACCCTTCCATTTTGTAATAGGTGGCTTTGGTGGCATGTTAGTGTCTTTGAATGAAGGATGTGTAGGCTTTATGCCACTGTCGATTACGCCGATGATAAGACCTTGTCCCATCATAGAGGATCCCCATGCGTTATATGTGGTTAAACCGAGATATCTATTAAAACACATAAAAGTATTAAATTTCATCCCATTTCTAATGTCTAGAAAAAAAAACACCTAATTCCTTCTCAAGCCAATATCATCTTCATAATTTATCTAAAAAAGTAATATAACGTTGACATTTCCCATGATTTTAAGCTTTTGATAGTAAAAAAAAATAATTATAATTGTTCACTATAATACTTTCAATTATTATCAAAATACTCCTAATATCTTACATTCAAATTTAACAGGACAACAATCAACGGAATAAAAAATATCATACTTTGGTGTATATGTTGTCGCAAGCTCGTAGTGACGGTCGCGCTGTGCATAGAGAAAGCCGGGTTTAGACTTGATAACCTCCAGTTCTCCAGGAGTGAGGCGGGCGGCGAAGCCGCTGAGAACATGACGGTAAGAGTATACCAGACGTGGCTCACCGGAATCAAGGGTTGAGTTTGGTAGGAAGGAGCGGTGAAAGTTCTCAAGGTCACCGTCGCTGAGAAGCTCGTGCTGCTCATGTCTCTCGACATCAATGATGTACACTTGTGTGTCATGGCGTCCAAGTACTTCATCGACTATGGGGAGAAGCTGAGAATTACTACTTTGAATAAGTAGTTGTAGTAGAAGAAGTTTAACGAGCAAAAACAAGACAATGGGGCTGCACTTCTCCATTTGGTTGAGAGGTGGTGAAAGACTAGTAAGGAAATGCAGGAACATATATAGCACTGTGTAAGTATTGCATTATACATGAATACATGAGGAAGCTTCATGATCGGGAATTCTGTATATGTGGCAATCATCATTAATAATGGAGAAGAAGGATCCGAGAACGTGGCATGGAAAAGGATCCAAATTGCCTTCGGTGATAGAAAAGAAATTGCCGAAATTTACTGATGATGGCTGCGTACAAGCTGCAGTTTTTCTAAAGAAAAATAATTCAATAGAAATTTAGTTGCTATTATCTGTATAGGTAAATTTTTTCTCCAGTGATAAATTTTTTTAATGAAAACAAGTGGTGTATATATAGGCATCTCTAATATTTTAGAAGTCATATAGACTTTGATTTAGATAAATTCAATCTGCTTAAAATCTACTTTGATTTAGATAAACTTTGTATTTTAAGTCATGTAGCGAAACCTTAAAATGAGTCAATTTAGACTTCGTTTGAAATAGCTTTCTTACTATTTTGAAAAATTAAACAATTAAATAATATTAGCACCAATGATGCAGATAATAAAAATATTGCTGAATTTAAATTATATTTATGGACCATTTATTAATTGATTTTTTTTTTATTGCTCGAAGCTCGATTGCATGCTTTGTTCATCAATCACTTGAGAAACTTACAGAGCATCTCCAAGGAAAAGTATTATCAGTATCACATCGGATGCGAAAGTAGATAAATATTAGAGAGAAGGTAAGCATATTTGTTCAGTTGAGGAAAATGAATTTAGATTTTATTTAATAAATTAAAAGATCAACAAATAGAATTTTTGTAGTTCGATCTCTGTATATATATTTGTTAGGAACGTTTGTGGATTACACTCAAACATTTATTATTGATACGTCATCATGAATTTATCTTGATCGGGCACGAATTTCGAGGAAAAACCCAACCCGGAAACTTCAAAAATTAAATCCGGGAGTACCCGAACTCCGATTTCAGCAAGCTTACAGTCAAACTGAGCGTCCCAAAAATACGAACCCAACGACACCAAATTCAACTCAATCCGAGTCCAAGTGAGCCCAAATCAAGATCCCGAAGTGCTGTTGGAAAGCTCGTACCACAATTTGAGTTACCAAACGGTCTCCGATTTTAACAAGCTTATACTCGAATCAAGCATCTCAACGAGACAAATCCAACAAGCCTAAGATCGCAGAATTCCGACATCACTAAGGCCTTCAAATGTCCAACGAACGGTGCACGCTCAAAGGATTCAACATCAATTAACCATCCATTCGACCACTCTCTATTCGCCCCTGATCTCACACCTATTTACAAGCCATGCCACTCCAGAAAAATTATAAATAGAGCCCTCATTTTTCACAAGAGGACTCAAGTAAGAAGAGAGAAGAAGAAGGGAAGAGGAAGAGAAAGGGGAAAGGAGAACCATCTCCTCCTCAATCATTGTCGGAGTTCTTCCCGCCGCCTGAATACGCCGGAATTCTGTCGGATATTCGGGAGACGCCGGAATTCTGCTCAACTTCCACGGGATGCTGAAATTCTTTCAAATTAACGACAGAGTTTCCTCCTGACGTCAAAACTCCGCCCAAGTGATGTCGGAATTCTCCTTGGCCATCAATAGACGTTGGACTTCTACCTGACGTCGGACCTTTACTCTTCACCAAGTTTCTACGTGATGCAGAACTTCTACCGGTTATCGGATTTTCGCTGAATGTATATTCGAAGATGGATTTCTTTCCATTGTTGGACTTCTACCTGACGTTGTTCTTCTGACCTTCATTAGACAACAATCTTTCCGACCTCTGTCACCTGCCGACTACGGTCCTCCTGACTTACGTCACTGTGGGCCTCCGAAGGAGAACCGCTCGCGGGGGTTCGAACGCAGAGGGTACGGCCGCACTATCCCATAGGACAAAACGATCGTAGGCCTCTACGCTTGACACGAACGGGTCGATGGGAGGGCAGATTGGATCACGCATATAACTAACCATTGGGGATAGATGCTGTCGCCAGCACACCCCAATGGGTAGCAATATACACGACCTAGTCACGGGTTTCCCCCACCCGATACGAGAGATTGAGTGGGGTAAAATAGATTGCGGGGCCAAGTTTCCCACGGGCGCAAGCCCCCGTGGTTAATTACATCCCGGGCCGGAGCCCGAGAAAACTCTCGATTAAGGATCATACATTATCTTTTCTAAATTGGGATTAGCACAAGGGTATAGACTAGGAAATCCTACTCAAAAGGAAGAAAGGTCCGAAGGGCTGAATCAAACATGC